CAAATTCAGCTCCTTACTTCTGTCCCCAGCCCCTGCTCTTAGAAATGCAGACTCCTTTTAATTTCCTCGTGATCCCAACCACAAGGAAACACAATCCACACAGAGCCTCCTTGGAGCACAAGAGGTGAGGTGAACACAGGCTCGTGTACTGGGTGACGCCGTGGAAGGCAGCTTGCATGGATTCTCACCCCACTCTACGCCCAAGCACTGGCTGGCTTTGGAGTTTGGTGGTTTTCCCCTGGAAAAATGAGATTGTGGAAGCTGATGATCAAAGACCTGGCAACCTCAAGACCTTCAGGCAAGTGACAGCTGCATTGCATCAGCAAACACCTGCCACAGCTCAGCAAGAAATCAGCCAGTTCCCAAGGACAATCCAAGTGCCAAGCGAACCCCCACCGAAATCTAAGGATGTGGTTGCAGCCCCATATCACAAAGAAACTAAGAGAGAGAGGTAATGTGTCTCCCCCAGAGAGTAAGACTTGCAGGGGGGAGTCAAACTGAGGCCTGCCTTTTACCCCAGTGCCTGTCCTTGAGCCGAAGCACCCTTCAAAGCTGGATCAGCGTGAACTGAATCCAAACACCGGAGCCAGAGAGCCGGTGCAGCTCTCCAGGCCCCGGACCCACAAGGGCCATCCCAGTGACATCGGGGCTGGAGGAGAACCGGAGAAAACCGTGCTTCCTCCAAAAAAATCCAGAACTGATCACACATGATTGGCTCATAGGTTGGAAGCTGTCCTTGACGTCATTTTGTGCAACCGTCACACAGCCGTCAGATATTCGCACCCCAGGGCAAGCAGCCTGCTAGGGAAGAGATTCCCCAGCAGGGGCCTCTGAGTTCCAGCCCGGCTGTGTCACAGACTCGCTGGAGGCCTCTGGGCAACTTGCGTCCCCTCCAGAGTTCCCTCCGTCTCTCAGAAGAGGGGCCAGCCCAGCAAAGGGGGCTGGGGGAGGAGCTTCTACGCGTGCAGCAGCCTCGGCCCGCTAAGCTACTGGAAGGCAGGGACTGTGTCTTGCTTTTGTTATTTTCCCACCACGCTGTCTACAGTGCACATAGTGGGGCTATGTAGTCCTGTATTGATTGGCAGGGTGCCTCCACCACATTAACAACTTGACCTTGTGACCTGCCATCAGGCAAGGGAATTGAGGTGAAATCCATGCGGCATAGGACTAGCCGTTTTAAAAGGCGCAGGTCAGTGGTATTTAGTTCATTCACGTGTCTCATAACCACCAAGCCTGTCCAGGTCTGTACACTTGTCATCACCCAGAAGGGGTTATGTGCCTGTGAAGCAGTTACTCCCCATTCTCCCTTACCCCCAGTCCCCATCACCAACCTGCTTCCTTTTCTTCTGAGTTGAAAGTATTAATGACGATGATTAAAAATTGCAATTATGTATATATAGAGAGATACGGAAAGCCCTGAAGCACCAGGCACAATGGGAGGCGTTTCCCATGCACCCTCTCAGGACTCATCCATCTCAGACTCATGCTGCTGTCCTCTGCTACAGAGAATCAGCTGCAAAGAACCTCAGTTCCCCAACAATCAGCCCGGGGCAGGGCCCTCCCTGTGCCTGACCAGGGCCACCCAGCAGCTCCATTCCTCCACTACTGCGAGTCTTTGCTCCCCCGTATGTGGAGCAGTAAGTGTCCTTCCACATCTCCCAGACCCAAGCGCAAGGCTCAGCATTAAAGACTGAAAGTGAGAGCCAGCAATCTAACAGGTCAGGGAGGAGACGCCAGAAGAAGAGGCCAAGGGACAAACAGGTCGGATCAGATAGATCCACCCAGGGACCCACAGAGGAAGAGCTACTCCTCTTGGCCCTTTCTTTCTCCTGTTCTCCCTCCTTGCCTTCTCTCTCTCTCTCTCTCAGACAGGCACAGAGGGCAAGTGGGGAGCTGATGCTAGGTTTGGGAAGCAGTGGAGAAAGGCAAGAAGGATTCTGGGTGTGTGTGGGCAGAAGCAGTGCAAGTTACAGATTTAGGGGTGATGTAGGAGACAGTGCCTTGGGGTGAGGAGGAGGCCCCATGGGGAGCAACTTCAGAGTGTGGGGCCAATGCCAGGCCAGGAAGCAAGCTCTGCAGGGCTGCCCAGAATGGAAGCATGAGGTCTCCTGACCCAACCCCCCTTCCCAGGACCACCTACATTTACCCCGTGCTGGCAACTCACTAAGAGCTGTCATCAACATCCCCGAGGCCATTGCCATAGCCAATGCACTCTTGCCCACCCCACCCCCAGCTCTACAGCTTAAAAATATTACCTCACTCAGGAGAGAGAAAAGCCAGCCCATTTCTCTGGAGAGAAACAGCCAGGGCCTTCTCAGCTGGGGCAGCGTAGGGGTCATGGGCTCTGCGTGTGTCATGGGAGATGAGCTCATCCTCGTCACACAGGGCAAGGGCTAGACAGGTGCCCAGACTCACCATGTAGGCCCCCAGGGCCTGTGAGGTCACCCTCAGAGTCACTGCTAGAATCTGCCCTAGGTACTTGCAAGCTTATCCCTCAAGTGGGGCAACCTAAAGACAGAGTATGGGGCCTCTGGGCCCTCAAAGGCTGGGAGCTCTCCAATCCCACCCTGTGCACGTCCCACCAATCCCCCACACACACACTCTCACACTCCCGCAGCTCCATCCCCTGCCCTCCTCCCCACACCCCAGCCCTGTCCGTGGTCAAAGGCTTAGCTCACATATACCATCTTCTCACAGCACTCATTATGCTGTGAATCAGAGGGCGGGCGGCAGATCTGGTAGATACCGAGCCCCTGAAAACCCATAGGACCGGTGTGACTTCCTCGCGCAGGGTCTGCTGCCCTGGGACTGACTGTCACGGGCTGGGGAGAGGTGGATTCTTCCTCTGTGAGGTCAGCAGCACAGTGCCAGGGCAGCGGGCCCATGTGAGGATGCGCAGTGCCTCCTACACAGTGAGCGGCGTGGGGGAACCTTCCCCCTCAGCAGGCAGCACCGTCCCTGCTCTATGGAGCAGGCAGTGGGAGGTCCCTGAATAAGCTCAAAGAGCCAAAGGTATCAGGAGAGGGTAGCGCTCCAGAGGCCAGAGGCCCCCTGTGAGTCCTCAATTGTGGCCACACACTAAGCCGCAGGAACACAGCAAAATTACTGCTGTACAGTGATCTGCTTGGGGCTATGAGGAAAACTATGGGGAATCAGGACACATCGCAAAATTAGCCCCAGAAATGGGTACTGTCTTCAAACTATTCTAATATTTCTTTCTTGATTAGACTGTAAAGCAGAGTTTAAATAAGTGTGGTCCATAAAATAAGCTATTAACCAATCATTAAGAAAGGTAAGCCCTATTCAGTTTTGTCTTACACACACATGTGCACACACACACATGCATACGCTTGCCCAACACTAAAACGTTTGATAGGAGTTATCTCCATCTGGTGAGAGGCGCTGTTCAGTCAGTCCTTCAGCTAATATTTATAGAGCACTCACAATAAATGGGGTTTTGATGGGTTCTAAGGACATGATGGAAAACACGCCAGGCAAGACCTTGCTCTGATAGAGCTTATTTTCCAGTGGGAGACATAGACACTAAACAAGCTAACAAAAGTGCATAAAATGCCCCTAGATTGTTATTGGTGACATGAACTGACCCAGGGGCTAATGCATTAGTCAGGGAAGGCTGTCAGGCAGGTCCCTGCATTATGTTGGAGCTGGAAGTCACAAAGGAGCTGGGTTCCTGGGGGGGGGGGGGGGGCGATTGTCGGCAGAGAGGGAGCAGGTGTCGGTCCAAAGGTGAGGAGCTCCAGGCACTGAGGCCCCTCCGTGAAGTGGGAGCACATCTCTCAAGGACAGAGCAGTCTGAGTGCAGGTCCTAGGGAAGACAGGGACCCAGTACCCCAGGGCCTTTGAAACCATGCTGGCGGGGTTGGCTGTTATTCCAGGTGCACTGGGGAACCCCTGGGATTGTGCGGTACACACTCAGGTCCCCACTCTGAAAGATTTCTTGATCTGTTTTGACAGAGTGGTTTAGAGAGAACTATGGATAATTCCGATTTTTACACCATCATGCATTTCCAAAAATAATTATAGAAAGTGTTTCATAAAATGCAACAGTTCTATGCATAGTGCCTGTGTGGTCCAATTTCCTTGCCTAAAGAGGTTCATTCTCTAGAGTTACTATGAGTACAACATTCTTTTTTGTTTAAAAAGATTAATTTATCTATTTGAAGGTTAGAGTTACAAAAAGAGAGGAGAGGCAGAGAGAAATAGAGGTCTTCCATCCACTGGTTTGCTCCCCAATTGGCTGCAACAGCCAGAGCTGAGCCTATCCAAAGCCAGGAACCAGGAGCTTCTTCCAGGTCTCCCATGTGGGTGCAGGGGCCCAAGGACTTGGGCCATCCTCTACTGCTTTTCCAGGCCACAGCAGAGAGCTGGATTGAAAGTGGAGCAGCCAGAATACAAACCGGCACCCCAAAGGGATGGCAGCACTGCAGGCGGTGTCTTTACCCACTTACGCCACAGTGCCAGCCCTGAGCATAGCATTCTTAGGGACTTCTGTAACTAATATCTTGGGTGTGGGGTCCCCTGGCACACGGAATGAGACCACTAGAGCCTTCTAATTGACTTGGGATTGGTTACAAACACATACTGAACACATGACATGTTCACAGCCCAGAAGAGCCCTCTACAATCCCATTCCTTTGTGAGATGCGACTCCTCCTGTCTTCATACCACATATCTGGCCTGGACATTCCAGAAAGATATATAATTCACTTATCCATGACATTGGAAATGAGTTCCTCTGCCTAACAATGAGGATGAACCCTCTTTATAGATGGGTAAATGGAGATTCAGAGTAGATGTTCAGCTGGAGTCGCCATCCTCCTGTTGCTCACCTCCCCGGTGCCCAGGTCAGATGGGCATAGCAGGAATGAGCCTTCAGAGCCCTCTGGCCAGGCAGAAGCTGTGTGTCCCTGGGAAAAAGGGCCCCGAGGGCTTTGCTGCTTATGATGTGTGTGATGAGTCAGAAAGGGGCTGGAGGAAGTTGACCAACTCATGTGGTGAAACCAGTCGATCGCCTTCAACCTGGGAAGGAGGCCAGGCCGGGGAATGGTATAAAGGTGCCCGGGCCCCTGTTCAGCTCAGCACTCTGCTGACAGCCTCCGCCTCGGTCCCTACAGTGAGGCTGGTAAGTGGACCGGGGGTGGGGAGCCGGGGGCCTCCCACAGGTAGGAGCTGGGGGTGGCCAGCCTGGGTGGGGTGGGGGGCAGCATGGGCATCGCTCCAGGGCTGGCTGCAGCTGGCTGCCTCTCCTCGTGGCTCAGGTCCACTGTGCAGAAGGAAGTGTGTATTCCTGGGGATGCAAGGCCAAGAGCATTCCTCTTGGGTCCCGACTTCCCTGGGGACCGTATTCTGGGGCGCTGTGAGTATGAAAGTGATGCTAGGTAGGGAGACAGGGGCAGTAGCATCAATTTCTTCCTTAAAGTTCTTTATTTGGGCTGGCAATGATTTTCCCCTTATTTATGGAGGCAAGGTGTGCAGGGGAGCGTTTGTAACCTTGGGCCGTGCTGCACAACACAGGGAGCAGCACAAGAGAAGTCATTCTCTGCTTGGAGGAGCCCAGGCAGAGCAGGGCCAGGAGATCCCAACTTGAGAGTAAGACTTGAAAGAACAAGCTCCAGCTCTCAGCAATCTTCCAGCTCCTCCCCCGACCCTATGTATAAAGACTGCAGCTAAGGCTCAGTGGGTCAGGAGAGAGGGGCGCTCTAGAGCAGGGCAGCAACCTGCTGATTTTACAGGGGAGAAACCTGAGGCCTGGGGAAGCTGAGTGACCTCCCTAGAACACTCCGCACTGGAGTGGAAGATTGAGGTCCAGAATTTGGTCCTGAAGACCAATCCCAGGGCTCATCACTCCACCCTGGTCACTGGAGGGCAGGGCAGAAATGAGAGCAGAGACAGAACAGATGAGAGCGGCAGTTCAAGCAGCATGCAACTTGCCATTGCAGAACAGCTCTGGCCACAGCTCTATGATTGGCTCTTGCGTGAGAGTATGGAGGCTTCCAGAAGAACCTGTCTCTCCCCCTCTTCACTCCCAGCTTTCACTTGCTGCTGCTCCTGGGGAGTGACAGCCAACAGGGAGTGGGCGAGTGCTTTATCCAAGGGAAGATATGGGGAAGTGGGAACCAGGTACTGCTGCAGCTTTCCAGGGAATCTTCTACTGCCTTTGCCTTTAGACTTCTCCTCTGACCCCCACGCCCCTGTTTTTCAGGTTGACCTATAGCAGCTTTCAAGATGTCCGAACAACACACCCTGCCGGTGACCCTCCCTCCTGCCCTGTGTCAGGAGATCCTCAAGACTGTTCCTCCTCCAGCTGCTTTCCATCAGGAACAAATGGTGCAGCCAACTCCACTGCCTGCCCCATGCCAGAAGGTGCCCTGTGAGCTCCCAGTGGAGGTCATCTCAAACCTTGAGGAGAAACATGCAAATCCTGTGAATGGGGGTTCTGAGCCAGAGTGTCAGCAGCCCGAGCCACAGGTACAGGAAGTGCATGTGGGACAGCAGCCTGAGCCACAGGTGCAGGAAGTGCATGTGGGACAGCAGCCTGAGCCACAGGTGCAGGAAGTGCATGTGGGACAGCAGTCCGAGCCACAGGTGCAGGAAGTGCACGTGGGACAGCAGCAGCCACAGGTGCAGGAAGTGCATGTGGGACAGCAGCCCGAGCCACAGGTGCAGGAAGTGCATGTGGGACAGCAGCCCGAGCCACAGGTGCAGGAAGTGCACGTGGGACAGCAGCCCGAGCCACAGGTGCAGGAAGTGCACGTGGGACAGCAGCCTGAGCCACAGGTGCAGGAAGTGCATGTGGGACAGCAGCCCGAGCCACAGGTGCAGGAAGTGCACGTGGGACAGCAGCCTGAGCCACAGGTGCAGGAAGTGCACGTGGGACAGCAGCCTGAGCCACAGGTGCAGGAAGTGCATGTGGGACAGCAGCCTGAGCCACAGGTGCAGGAAGTGCATGTGGGACAGCAGTCCGAGCCACAGGTGCAGGAAGTGCACGTGGGACAGCAGCAGCCACAGGTGCAGGAAGTGCATGTGAGACAGCAGCAGCCTGAGCCACAGGAGCAGGAAGTGCACGTGGGACAGCAGCCTGAGCCACAGGTGCAGGAAGTGCACGTGGGACAGCAGCAGCCAGAGCCACAGGAGCAGGAAGTGCACGTGGGACAGCAGCCAGAGCCACAGGTGCAGGAAGTGCACGTGGGACAGCAGCCTGAGCCACAGGTGCAGGAAGTGCACGTGGGACAGCAGCCCGAGCCACAGGTGCAGGAAGTGCATGTGGGACAGCAGCAGCCACAGGTGCAGGAAGTGCACGTGGGACAGCAGCAGCCACAGGTGCAGGAAGTGCATGAGGAACAGCAGCCAGAGCCACAGGAGCAGGAAGTGCATGTGGGACAGCAACAGCAACAGCAGCAGCAGCCACAGGAGCAGGAAGTGCATGTGGGACAGCAGCAGCAGCAGCAGCCACAGGAGCAGGAAGTGCATGTGGGACAGCAGCAGCAGCAGCCACAGGAGCAGGAAGTGCAGCCACAGAAGCAGGAACAGCATGAGGGACATCATGGGGCAGAAAATCTCAACCAGCAGCTTGAGCAAGAAAAAGCACATAGGGAGCAGCAGCCGAAGGAGCAGCTGGAGCAGAAGACACAGCTCTTGGACCAGCAGCTTGATCAAGAGGTAGCAAAGACAGAAGAGCAGTTGGGAAACAAAGAAGAGTGGCCGGAGCATCCAAAGCAGCCTGCCTTTCTCACAACGCCTGGCCAGGTCCAAGAGGTCCAGCCATGCCTGCCACCGAAGGGAGAAGCTTTGCTCCCCACAGAGCGGCTGCAGCAGAAGTAGGAGGTGCAGCGACTGCCTGAATATAAGTAACTAACCCTTGTGTCCCAGAGGCTTCAGTCCACCCCACACAAGGGGAGGGAGAGTCACTGGCCCCAGTGACCTCACATCCCCTGGATGGCTCTGCCTCTCTGCTTGGCTTTTTTATGGGGTTGCGGGAAGACGATGGTATGGCCAGCACCCACCTGTAGTGAGCCCAGTCCAACCTCAGGTGATTAGAGCCCCACCTGAGGCACTATCGTTGCCATAGTAACTCTGCCTTCACCCCAAGTATTAAACTGGATCTGTGAGTGTGCATGCATAATAAATCCTGGAAGTCCTGAGAGCCTGTATTCTCTTTGACTTTTTCTCCTCTGCCTCTCACCATGTAAAAATCCGAGTAGGGGTCAATGGTTGCAGCTGACTGGCTTGGCCAGTTTTCAAAAGAGGACAGGCATCTTGACCCTTCTTTAATTCTGTTTCCCAAACCACTCAGTATATTCAACAGCTTCTGAAAAGCAAGTTCACTTACACACCTCCAAGCAGCACTTGCCAGCCATGGGGGTGGAGTGGGGGGGTGGGGGGGGCGGCAAGAAGATCTGTCTACCTCGGTCCAGCAGTGCCTAACACTATTCCTACAGTCCCCAGTCCTGCCCCATGGTGGGGCTCAGCCCTATACTTTACATCCTGACTTAGCTCCACACCTGAGGAAGGAGACTGGGGGGGGGTGGCACGGAGGCTTGGGGGGCCCCATCTGGGTTCTGGTTCCTCCCCTAGAAACATCCCCAGGCTCTGCTTCCTGGGCTTTATTTCTACAGAATGTTCTCATTATATCCAAGAACCGCCTGGACATCCTACTTGGCTGAAGGAGACTTTAGTGAAGTAATAGAAGCATAATTGAACAAGTTAGAGCTGAATGTTTGGCATAGTGATTAAGAGGGCCCCTGGGACACCCCCCTCCCATAGGCAGTACTGGCTGGATCACACCTGATTACAGCTTTCTGCTAATGCATACTCTGAAAGGCAGCAGGTGTTGGACCAATTAAACAGATCCCTGCCACCCAATGGGAGACCCAGATGGAGTTCCTGGTTCCTGGCCTCAGCCTGCCACAATCCCAGCTGTCATGGGCATTTGAGGAATGAATTAGAGGATGAGATTCTTTCTTCTCTCTCTCTCTCTCTCTCTCTCTCTCTCTCTCTCTCTCTCTCTTTCTCTTTCTCTCTCTCTCTCTCTCTCTTTCTCTCTCTTTCTCTTTCTCTCTCTTTCTCTTTCTCTCTCTTTCTCTCTCTCTCACTCCCAATCTCGCTCCCACTCTCTCCCCCTCTGAATTTCAAATAAAATATTATCTAAAAAAAAAAAAAAAAGAATTGGGCAAGGTGAGGAAGATACTTCCAAGACCGGTCTCTGATGTGTGAGAGATAGTGTCTTCTATGGAAGTAAGGATTAGATCAGCAAAAACTGTGGAAGCCAAAACTTCCGAACAGGCTGGAGAAACACAGATCCATCAAAAGTTACTGCTGCTGTTACCCTACACTCCCTGACCATCTCCATGGTCTCTGCTGCCCTCCTCCACATCAGAACTTGGTGCTAACTCTCTCCTGAGACAAGACTCAAGCTATTGGAAACTAGTTTACCAGGGGCGTCAGGATGCATCAGGCGTTCACAGGCACTCAGGTTCAATAGATCTGAACAGCATTTAGCATTCCTTACTCCCCGCCCACACTCAGCCATACTCACCATGTTGATTCCTTAGGAATTATGTGTTCTGGGTAATTATACAGCCATCTATGCATTCACAACCGTCCCTTCTCATTCCCCCACCTCTTCCCTAACCCCACCAATGATTCATTCCTTTCTATCCCTACCAACATAGCCTAAACTCAGACAGGGTTATTCTTACCTGAACTGTTGCAATAGGCTTCAAGCTGGTCTCTCTTGCTCTGTGTCTCCACACACCCCACAATACAACCATCACACAGAGGACAGGGTGTTCTACTTAAAATTCCAATCTAACCACATCATTTCTTGCGTTAACGCTTGTCAGTAGTTCTCACTACGTAGAAGGTGAGAAAGGCTCAGATTCTCCCAGCAGTCAGCTGGGTGGGACTAGGCAGGAAGACTGAAGGCAATCAGGAAAACACAAAGTGTTTTCTTAGTCTGACCTCCTTTTTTCCTAATAGAACTTACCTTTAAGTACAGTTTTGGATTTACCAGGAAGTTGAGAAACGGTAAAGAGAGTTTCCTTATGCTCCACATGCAGGCTCCCCTATTATCAGCATATTAACTTCAGTATATTACACTTGCTAAAAGGAACACAATAGGTTGATACAGTATTTCTGATTGAAGTTCACGGCATACTGATTTTCTTGGTGCTCCCCGGATGCCCTTCTGCTATTTCAGTGTCCTGTCCGGGATGTCATGCTCTACTGGGTCATCTTATCTCCTTAGTGCTTTCTTGACTGCAATAGTTTCTCACGCTTGCTTGTTTTTGAGAACCTTGGGAGTGTTGAGGGGCCCTTGCCAGGTATTGTGTAGGCTAGTCCTCAGAGAGAGTTTGTATTGGTTTCAGGAGGAAGATCACGGAGGGGAAGTGCCATTCACCACATCATGTTATGGTATACAGTCTATCAGACATAACAGCCCAGTGGATATCAACCTGGAACACTCGACACTTCTCCACTCTAAAGTAGCTCTTACCTTCTGAAAGGAAGTCCCTGATAAGTTCACAATTAAAAAGGGGGATGTCGCTCCCCCTCTTCGTGGAGGAACGACACAGGACCCTGCGCTGTTCTTTCGTCTGCTCGGCCCTCCCCGGGTTTTCTGCTGGTTCTTCCCGGGTTGGCTACTATCCCTTCCACCTCCGTAGAAGGGCAGTTCCCCCTGGCCACATTCCCCACTTCCGCAGGGGAGCGGCACACCGCCGGCCGGCTCTCGAGGGGGCTGCACAGGTGTTCCCTTAGATGTTCCCCTTAGATGTTCCTGGTGCATGCCGTCTCTCTCCTCCTTTATAGTCCTCCTCTGCCAATCCCAACTCGGCTGCCCACACGCCGAGTACGCTGCTCTCCTCCAATCAGGAGCAAGTCCTACAGTTTATTGGTTGAACTGGAGGCAGCTGTGTAAAAGCTGTTTTCTTCTCTCCCAGCGCCATATTGTGGGAGAGCAGATGCATAGAATAAGTCTTAATTCCAGTAACTTAGTCTAGTCCGAATTGCTCCCCACAGGGGAGAGGCTGGCACTATGGCATATTTGGTAAAGAAGCTACCTGCAGTGCCAGCATCCCATATGGGCACCAGTTCAAGTCCGGCCTGCTCCACTTCCGATCCAGCTCTCTGCTATGGCCTGGGAAAGCAGTAGAAGATGGCCCAAGTCCTTGGGTCCCTGCACCCACGTGGGAGACCTGGAAGAAGCTCCTGGCTCCTGGTTTTGGATTGGCCCAGCTCCAGCCATTGTGGCCAACTGGGGAACTGCAGCAAATGGAAGACCTCTCTCACTCGCTCTCTCTCTCTCTCCCTCTCCTTCTCTCTCTGTGAATCTCTGACTTTCAAATAAATAAATAAATAAATAAATCTTTTAAAAAAAAAATGGGGAGTAGCTCTCTCATCAGTTAGGGTGGGTGTCCACATAAATAATTTGGAATTTTCTGTATGTTCCTCCCCCCCACCCCGGCTTATTTGTACAATCATTTATTTTTCTAGTTATGGGCTCATGCATATTTATTTTATACTGTGGGCTACAATACTACAGTATTTATTTATTTTGTTGTTCAAATTGTTGCAGTTTTCATCATTGGGAACTCTTTGATACATGTCCATCAATGTAGGGTTTGTTTTTTTTTTAAGATTTTATTTACTTATTTGAGAGGTAGAGTTACAGACAGTGAGAGGGAGAGACAGGGAGAAGCGTCTTCCTTCTGTTGGTTCACTCCCCAAATGGCCACAATAGCTGAAGCTGTGCCGATCTGAAGCCAGGATCCAGGTGCTTCCTCCCGGTCTCCCATGCGGGTGCAGGGGCCCAAGTACTTGGGCCATCTTCTACTACTTTCCCAGGCCATAGAAGAGAGCTGGATTGGAAGAGGAGCAGCCAGGACTAGAACTAGTGCCCATATGAGTTGCCAGCGCCACAGGCAGAGGATTTATTATGCCATGGCGCTGGCCCCAATGTGGATGTTTTTTGAAGATTGATTTATTTGAGAGGCAGAAGCAGAGAGAGTCCGAGAGGTCTTCCATCTGCTGGTTCACTCTCCAATTAGCCATAACTGCTGAAGTTGGGCCAGGTCAAATTTTAAATTCTTTTTTTTTATTATTATTATTTGTTGATCTCTTTGATAATTTGCTTTATTTTTGAGCAAGTCCTTACTCCCTGGTACTGCCATAGGTGCCAGGCTAACCTTGTACATTTCCTGCCCCATCCTTGGTTCACTTACTGGAGAATGGAGCCCAAAGGGGTACGAGGCCTGGTCTTACCACTGGCTGAGGTATCATTTCTTTGCTCTTTCAGTTGGCAAAGGAAATGGAGTGCATTTCAAAAAGTTCATGGAAAATGAAATTGAAAGTTAAGTTCAATTTTGGTGCAAAATTTTTTGAAATACACAATTTGTTCATAATACGCATGTTCCATGAACTTTCTGAAGACCCTGGGTACCTGTGTGTATTTTAGCAGTATCTATGTTAGGTTAAATATGGGTCAGCCAGTGTCTCCAGCTATAACCCGTTAGCAGGTGGTTCATCTTTGACTCTCCTTTCTTATCTGTAAATTCTGACCCCAACAGTGAGAAACCTTGTCACACACCAATGGCTCTCCAATTCCGTAATCAGTCATTTCCTGTACACATGCACTGCAGAATCCGAACTATGGACAGGGACCTTTACGTCTCAGGGGAAATGCCTTCATCAGCAAGAACACGATGCTTGTACACAGAGCCTTTGCCTTGAGCAGACTCCACTCATGTCCAAAGCTACTTAGGTCAATCCATTGCCCTATAACACCACCCATTCCCTTCAGTAAGTTCACTCCATATATTTTTCATAGTTTGTTAGGTAGGAAGTCAGAAATGAGCTTACGTGTGTGTAACAAAGGCCTAAGGAGTTGACATCTACAGTGGTCCAGCATTCCCATCTGAAAGTCATCCAGATAACCTTCCAGGTGCAGCCCAGTATTTGCACTTCAAAAGTCCTGCCCAGATCCTGATGACCTACCTTCCAGGGGGTCCTGCCCCTTCTACCTGGCCTGATAAACATCCTTCCTCTAAGGTGGGGCCACGCCAGCCAGGCTTCCCCTGTTTGATAACTTCAGGGGGAAAACTCAGAAAGGAACTTTTCATATTTACACCCAACAAGTCCTTTGTT